AGTTTATTTTTCTGTTGCTGACTGCGTTCTCTCTCGCTCTCTTGGTTTCGTAATAAATTATTTAAGTATTATATAATTGGCATGCAAAATATGCTTTTATTTGCATTTTAAGAATTAATAAAATAATAAGTTTATTAATTTGAATTATATATATTATTATTTTCTATATATAATAATAGACTAAATAATTATCTGTCAATAAATGTTTATTGTAAACAATTTATATTCATTGTTTATTATGTATAGTATTTTTATTCTGTTATTAAATATGATTCTCTTATTTTTTTCTTAGTCTTATTTTATTATAAATAAACTATATTAAAACTTCTAATCACTAGAATTAAAATAATTTTCATAATGTTCATTATAATTCGTTATTCAATTTTGCACAACATTTTTTTTGTCTTGTGCTAACATTATATGGCTATTCGTTTTCTTTTTTTGTTTTTCATATTGATTTATATGATAATGGAAAAGAACATTAATTTTTCGAATCAACCAGTATATTTTTTTAGTTTGTTTTTGTTTTTTAAATATGTCATTCTCAGGTGTAAATATTATCTTATTTATAAAAATACAACTACATCATATCATTATTCAATTTGTTTATATATAAAAAACAACAATAAAAAGAATACCTATCATTGACGTATTATACGAAAACAATTCATAATATGAAATGAACAATTAACAAAAGCAAATCAAAATACTCATGCGTAAATTCATTTATTACTTCATTCATTAGTAATTATATTGTTGCTTTCTATAATAAACATTTCTCAAGGTCAACAAGTACAATGTAAAACATTGGCTCGTCAACTATTATTGTAGATATGTTCCGATCGCGCAAAAGAACTATTTTTTTTTTCTTTCTATTATTTGTTCTTCTCGTCTTTTGCCAGAAAAACGAAAGAAGAGGGAAAAAAAGCGTCCTTGTTGCCCTAAAAAACGTGATGATCACGCTTAAGTATACACGAGCATTAGTGTTCTATACGCGTGACTCATAATGTAGATCGTAGCAAAAGAATGAGAGAAGAAGAAGAAAAAAAAATAGATGTAAAGCGCTACCGAGCGTTTACTATTCTCGTCTATATATAAAGAATGGTAAAGAAACATTTTCTTACACAAAACACTGCACACTTCATACTAAAGACAACAAGTACGATACGATTTTATCAAATTTAATCTGAAAAATGGTTCGTGAAGTTAGTATATTATCAAGTCCAAATTATTCTATTGATCATATAGCAACAAAACATGCTATTAACAATGGTGTACAAGTTGAAGAATTACCAATGAAAGATGATTTAGCATTTAAACATTATTCAAGTATAACAGATGATGAATCTGGTTTTTCAGAAGCTGAAACAACATCAACACGATCATCACCTATTCCATCGTTAAATGAAGATGATTATGAATTAGCATCAATATTATCAGATGAAAGTAAAAAAGAATTTTGTTCGGATATGGGTCTTATATTTCATGCTGAATTTCAATTAACATTTGGACGTTATTTTATGGCTGATCGTTGGTTATTAATGCCATTAGGTACTAATGGTATTTGTCGATTACCAGCAGATGCAGTATGTGACGTTGAAATAGCTAAAGTACGTTTTGAATGTGTTTCATGTGGACATTGTTGGACATCAATGCGTGGACAAATATCATTTTTCTATGATTGTCAATCATATATACTTTATTTTAAATTATTTACACAAGTATGTGATCATTGTGGTAATATATGTATACCATTATGGTATCCTGAAGAAGTATGTCGTGTTATGCGAAATGTTTTTGTTAGTGTTAATCAACATATGTATTCAAATATAAAAACACCAATTCAATCAAATCATCATCGTCGTTTTGGAAATCCAAAAGGACAACATCATGGATGTGAATCATGTCGAGATGGTGTTTGTGTTTCTGTAGCTGCACAACAACTTGGATGTAAACTTATTAAATAAACTTTTTATTTAAATTCTTTTTTACTAGTATTAAGTATAGCTGTTATTTCGTTGGGACTATCTCGGTGTATCTAGTCATCTTAATACTTTTTCTTTCCCATTTCGGTATTATTATCATTATTATAACTATTATTATTATTATTACTCTATATATGTACATATACGAAAGCACATTATGTGTGTATTGTTTTGAATTAGTTTGATCGTGTCATTCAACAAAAAAAAAAGTGTACGGTTATGTCAGTACGTTATCAAGACTATAAATTTTTTCTTTGTTTGCATTGTCTGTTGTTGTTTTTTTGTTCTTATTTATATCGTTAATCACTTGTATTTTATTTTTTTTGCTTTTTCTGCATTATACAAAAGAAGAACGATATAAATTATATTATTACGTTGATTATTACTTTTACTTTATCACACCATTGACAGCATACATACATTTCAATCTTTAGAACATTCTAGAATGTATAAATCAGAACAGAAATATTTGCTAAATATTTATTAAAAAGATTGCATATTCATTTTTTTTTTCTTCTTCTATTTTTAGCGGGCTGATGTTAATGGTACAAATCCAGATGGTGTTCCATATGATCAATGTTGTACAAATGAAGAAATTCGTGCATTGATTGTTAAACACAAAAAATCAAATAAATGAAATTCCATATATTAATTTCTGCAATATATATATTCCTTGACTGATTGTCTTCCTAAAAACTGAATCAATATCTTCTATATTTGATTGTTATATTGTTCATTCTTTCTTTATTGACCTTCGTACTCGTGATTCTTTTTTTTTTTCAATTTTAAAACAAACCTAGAAAAAAAAGAATGTTTATTATATTTGACTTCAAGTTGAATTGATTATGTTTGACAAACAAAATATATATATAAAAAAAAAGAAATAAAAACCTTATCACGTGCTATAAAATATTTATGTTCTTCAAAAAAAAAACCAAATTGAGTTAAAAATAACTGCTCTCTATGAAATGTTTTTTTACTGACCTACAATTTATTATTTGTCACATTAAAGTTGATGCATTTACAAAAATATTGGAGGCTTCAAAAGTTAAAATAGAATTCGAATTTTTTTTTTATCGTACTTTGATCAAATCAGCCAGTTCTTTTTTCTAATAAGACAAAAAAAAATAATTCAAGTTCTTATTCATATGAAAAAAGTTCACAAGTTATGATCATAGCTATTACTTTTGACTGTGATATAAATTTAGCTTTTAGTTTGATTTATGATAGTAATTATGATGAAGGAGTGCAAATAATTATAGATTTTTGAATATAAATTTTGTCTATCAATAAAAGATCATTAGACCGGTGTAGAAACAGCAGAGACTTTAGTTTAAAAATCTCTTGAAGTATTCTAAGATCATATGAAATATTCAGAAGTCTTTTGAAGTTCTTTGAGAATTTCAAATCTCTATGCTTGAAGTGTGCTGTTTTCTTCTTTCAGTCGACTAGAACGAATTCAAAAGAGTTTATGCATATGTCCTATGTTAAATGAGAGACTGTATTTACTTTCATAGGATTCCAGAATTTACAGAATTATGACTATAGACTTACTTTACATAATGCTTTCACTTACATTAACATATATGGAAAATTTCAGGATCTTTGAATATAATCTCTTCTAAACATGAAATTTTTAAAATCTAATATCTTCTCAACTAATATTAAGTAAATTATATAAAATTTCACAATTTCAATCAAAACGAAGGACTTTGACCGTTACTAGTAAAACTTTTTTTTTTTTCATGTAAATGAAAAATTAGATCTTTTTCATATTATTAAAATAAATGAATCAGTTGATTTGATCAAAATACGAAAGAGGAAATACAAAGTTCTTGATTAACCTTGAGGTCAACAGGTACAATTTGCTAGTTGAAAGAATTATGTGATCTTCAATAGACTATGTTAATTATTGTACTTGGATATTTTTAGTAGATATTTTTTTTTTCATCTTATTATATTCGTTTTACTTTGTGCACTATTTTTTTTTTGTTATTATCAAATATATTTATATTTGTTGTTCTTATCTTTCTTTATTATAAGATTTTTGTTTTCTTTTACTATATTTATCAATATGTAACCAACTAGAATAGGACAGCAAAAGTCTTCAATCTAATCAGAAATTTTCTTCTTTCTTTTATGTTAATCAAAGAAAAGAAAAGAATATATTACTAATGTTTAACGAGAAAAATTAATCCTACTAAAATATTTATTGGTTTTTATGACTGTAAAAGAACAAAAATACCTCATGTACTATTTTTATACAGCTTGATCAATTGCGTAGATATAATAGTTTTAATATAATCATTGATAACTAACGTCATCTATTCATATGTGTCATTGTATTGTTAATGCGTACAGAAACCGAGGAGAATATATGAAGAATGGCGAATATTGATTGCGTGATAGATGTTTCAATAAAGATGAAAGTATGTGTAAAAAGAGAAAGGAAAAAAAATATATTGCTGCTAACCGCTTTGTTTAAGTGAGTAAAGTTTTGTCATTCATCTTGCTGTAAAGAATTGAGACGAGGCAAATAAAATCATCTAGTTGAAAATGACGAACACAGAACAATACAAAAAAAAAATATTCTAAACAAGACATTGTACGTGAAACTTTGTTTGAATTGAAATTCTAGAGACGCAAATGTTTGGTAATGGTAGATTGGATAAAAGTGTTTTTGTTCTTCATTGTTATAGAGCTTCTTCGATACTCATTCTACTATTCTGTTCTGTCTTCTTTTCGATCTTATAGCGAAAAAAATATTTGAATAACATTTGCCCCGAAATTACTTTGCCTCTCTGTTACTTCATTATTTAATGAATAGAAAAAAGAAAAGAGAAAAAAAAAAAGAACTCTATATATTGAACATGGATGTACTAGCAACAATGAACCGTTTCTTGGGATATATTAATAAGAATTCTTATTGTTGTTTATTTTTTTATTTTTTGTATACATAGATATATTTTTTTCTCTTGTTCTCTTTCTATCATTTTTATTTTAAGATAATTCTGAATGCCGACTAAAATCGAAGGTCGATCATCACGTCAAGATTTAATTGATGATATTGTCGAAGCACCATCATCATCATCATTTATGTCAACTTCAAATTCATCTATGATGATAGATGGTTCAAAAACATTACCAAGTAGAAATTATTCAAGTTATTCAAATATTCCAAGTTTATTTAATAATAAAACAAAAAATGAACAAATTAATCATACAACAACATTAACTCATGAACTTCGTGATCGTCTTCATTTAACATTACCACGTTCAAATTCATCATCAACAATGATAAGTAATGATGAACGACGACGAGAACTTGATCTTGTTTTAAAACATTTATATGATGGAAAATTATTAACATCAATGAATGATGATCGACCATCATCGGATGTTTCGGACTCATCAATTCCTATTTTAAGTAAAGGACCAATAACAAGAACAACGACAACAATTAAAAATGATGATGATAATAAAATCAATGTTGGAAATATAGAAGTAAGTTTATTATTTCATCAAATATCTACAGTAAATCAATATCAAAATAAAAATTTCAGAATTACTTTTATACATGTTTAGAAAGACAAGAATTTTCTTGAAATTTATTATGTTAATCTATTCAAACTTCAATATTTTTTCTATCAATACTGTTAGATTAAAAACATCGATTTATTATAAGGTTATGGATGTACCAATTTCAATTGTTTAACTTGTTTGGCATTGATTGTTCTCGAATTACTAGTTTTGTATATATTTACAGAAATTAATAACCAATGCCCAAACAAAAAAAAAAAGAAACGTAATTGAAATCGGTGCATCTCTACATAAGTTTTACTTCATTATTTCAAAATTTCAAGTACAATACCGAGAATCAGATGTTAGATAAATTACAAATATCATATATTTGATAATTTTAAACTCGATCTAGAATAAATAAATATGATCGTACATAACTATTTACTAACTAATTAACTCTTTGACGGCGAAGCCGGTAAACTTTCGTTTTTAAAATTTGAATAGAGTACGAAGCCAGAATATAGTAAAATAGACCTTTTCAATATTTTTTATAATTTGACATAGATGCCAATGGTAACAGCATTGTATCTTTAAAATATGTTTCAAAGTATTCCATATTAACAATAGATTTTTACTTTATTTATTTTAAAGAAAAGTTGAATACCAACGGTTAAAAAAGTTATTTATTATTTTACACAAAAATATATTAAATAAAAATTGTACGATAACTTGTCATATGGAAAGATAAATAGTGTTTCGTCTTATTGTTGTTCATATAACATTAACGATTATCAATGAGAATTTCAAATCTAATTTCTATATTATTTTCTCTACTCAAAAGAAATTTGATAAATATTTTTCTCTAGCAATTTCAAACAAAAAACTTCTATATGAAATTCTAGGCTTTGAAAATATTCAAAAGAAAAACTAATATAAAATCTTTTTTTTTTCTTTTTCTTTTGTCTAGATGCTTTCACTGGACGATGATTGTACATCTCTTCAACGAGAATTACAAGAAAAAGAACTTGATATAATACATTTACATAAAGAAATTCAAGAATTACAATTAGAAAATAAATTACTTAAAGCAAAAGTACCAGTTATGTATCAAAATGGTCATACAAGTGTAAGATATACAAATTTAAATTAATATTATAAAAATATATCAAAGAATTAATTATTATTTTTTTGCTGTTTTTTTTTTAAATTTTAGAATAATAGTGAAACTGAAACACTTCGTCGTGAAAAAGATGTTTTACAAAATGAATTACGTTCTCAACAAGAATTAATTGCAAAACTTCAACAACAACAACACCAAAATGGTATTATTAATCGTTCAAATAAATTAGATGAAGCTACTCTATATCAAAAAGAAGCATTAGAAAAAAAATTAAGTTCGTATTTATTTTCTTGCTTAAAAAAGAAAATACAAAAAAAAAGTTCTTTGTATTTGTTTTTTTTTTTTTTTTCGTTTTAATTTAGAAGCTTATGAAAAACAAGTGCGTACATTAACAAATGATAATGAAAATTTAAAACAACATTTACAGCAAGCTGATCGTACGATGACTCAATTAAAACGAGAAAATGAAGAATTACAACAAAAAGTAAATAATTTAAATAATAATAAAAAAATTTTTCTTATTTTTTAAATTATCTATAGAAAATAAATAAAAAACTTTCAATACTTCTTTCTCTTATTGATCCCTCATTTGCATCAGATACATTTTTTTCTCGAGAAAAACAATGTTCTCAGGTTGATTTGCTTGAATTTAGTGCATGATTAGAACTTATTTATACATCATTGAAAATGATTAATGATTGTTTTTTTTTTTTCTTAATTCTATTTTTCTAGCTTAGTGATGCTAAAAAACGTAATGATGAATTACTTTATCAAGAATTTAATTCACTTCGAAATGATTTAAAGTATATTTAGAATTCATTTTAAAAACAAAATGTTTATTTATTTTTTTTCTGTTTTTTTCGTTCATTTTTAGAATGCTTAAACAACGAAATGATGAATTATTTGAAGAAAATCATCGTTTACATCAAGAACATCAACGAAAACAACATAGTCTTACTTGGCGTTCAACTCTTCAACAACCATATGCTAATGAACCACCACCACCACAACAACAACAACAACAAATATCAATTATTGATAATATATCACCTTCATCACCATTGAAATTATCCAATACAGATTCAAGACGTGAACGATCGAAAGGTGAATATAAATAATGATCTGTATGGATCTATTTTTACATGATTTAACTAGAAGCAAAACAGTAGCCTTTTTCATCAGGACTCAAAATGCGTTGTCTGATCTAGAAAGATTTCATTCCAGGCTGCCTAGTCCGAACTTTATTTCTTTTTTCAAGGAAGATTTTTCATATAAGAGAACAGGAAAAAAAAAATCTTATCTTTCATCAAAATTTCTCATATATGGAGTATTGCACGTTCTTAACGGTAACAATCCGAAATCTTTATTACATGAACGTTTCGAAAATTTCATTTTGCAAAGAAATTTAAAAGCAGATCATTTATTCGATTCAATGAGATTTATCATCTACACACAAGATTGAATGTGCTATCAACTGTATTAAATGGCATGAGTGTTACTGAAATAGAATAGTGTTAACTGTGTCACTAAAAATACCCAACTGGCCTTTCGAGGGGTATTTCGACGCCTCAATTTTGCACTCTCGTTGTCTCCTAAAATACCCATCGCTGAGCCCTCGACCCATCGGAAAATGGCAATCTGAGGGGTCGATTTGAAATTCCGATGGGTATAGCTCGTGTCTCAAAATTGTACCATCATAGATGTTTCAAAGTTTCGATCTCGTGCTTCTGCTAACTATCAATGTACCTACCATCAGGCTCTGGGCCAATCGGAATTTCAAATCGACCCCTCGGATTGCCATTTTCAGATGGGTCGAGGGCTCGGCGCACCTCTCGCATGTCTTTTTCGGCTCGCTTGGGTAGTAACTAATCTGAATTTTTTAAAAATTAATATTAGCCGATCTTATTCAATTCATAATTATTATGATACTAAACTTTTTTACTATGTTTGAATAAATGACTAAAATGATTGTAGACCTTCGAACGAAGGAACGTTTTCTATTAATCGAGCGTTTTTGAATTTAAATTCTGTACGTCGGATAGACTTCAGTGAGACATGAAAAATATTCACAAGGATAAGTCAGTTTAGATATTCTACTAGAATTTAAGTTTCTGACATGATATATATACCAACAAACTCGAATGAAGATATTTCAGTCTGAGATTTCTCTACAAATAGATCTATTGGTAAGTAGAATGTTCTGAAAATTTCAGCTCAAAATAATGTTTCTATTACGAGATATTTTAGCCTAAGAAAACAAAAAAATCCATCATATTTCATGAAATATGAATGATTTTTCGGATTTTGAGAGTTTGCAAAACAAAGGTTTCTTAGAGTTAAAGTTTTCAAGACATTCTATTAATAAATAGACCTGTCTGTAAGAAAAATCTCCGACTAAAATATCTTCATTCCATTTGTTAATATATATATCATGTCAAAGGCTAAATTTCTAGTAAAACGTCAAAAAATGTGGCTACAAGGACTCATCCTTTTCAGATTTCTCATATATTTTTGAAGTCTACCTTTATTCATCGAGCATAAATTCCAAAGCGATTGATTCATGGATAATATTCCCTCACCAGTTGGGCCACATAGATATAAGTAATTCTTGATTCGGTGCAAACTATCAAAAATTGGCCCGATTTCAGGGCCTGATTCTTTCAAGATTAAGTATATCACCTTATCGAAATCATTCATACAGATTTTGCATGTATTTTAAAAACTATAAGGATTTTACAAAAATGAGATTGAAATCAGGATTAGGGAAATATAGTTTTGTAAGATTCGATCAAACAATAATGCTATGATATTTCAACAGTTTAGGTGTTATATCGAACAAAAGAATTCCTGAATGTTAGTCGTCATTGATTGAAATAATCATGAAAGTCGACTCTTTCTAAACAAAATTTCCAGCTAAATTGGATTAAATCAAATAATAAAATAACAAGATTTTCTTAATCTAATTTAAATTAAAATGATCACTAAACTATAATAGACAAATATAAATTAAGAAAGGGATATTCATTTAATAAATTAATGTTTTTAGTTTTTTAAATCTTTCAAAAAAAAAAAAAAAAAAAAAACGAAATTATTCTTTAACTTTATTTTATTATTAGTTATTCGAAGTGATAGTCCAAATTTATCCGAAGGAAGTGATTCAACAAATTATTTAACAACTGTCAGTGTTGAACGTTATAATAATCGACCATCAACATCAACGCATCGATCAATAGCAATTGATAGTAATAATCATCATCAAACATCAAGATATCCATCAATAATAGGACAAGAAGAATATCATCGAAATAATTATACAAATTCAGTACCAAAATCAATAGATCCACAAATAAATTATCGTTCATCAAAACCAAAACGTTCTGTTGAATGGGATGAAGAAAATATTCAACAGAATGAAGGTAAATTTCATAAAAATAAAATAAGAACAATGGTTTATACAAGATAAATCTTATTCTATGTAATAATGGCAAATAATAGAATAAATAAAACTTCTTTTTTTGTTGCCCATAGACCCCTTTAAATATGCATTAGTACCATACAGCGGTAAAAAAAAAAACAAATCCTCAAATATTTTTTTTTTCTGAACACTCAGTCACATACACATAGTATATCGTAGTCATTTCTTATTATTATTATTTTTATTTTATTCGTTCGTTCTATATCTGTAGTTACACATAGTCGAATTTTTCACTATTCACATTTTATATTTATTTTCTTGCTTTTTATATTTAATAGTGTCCTTTATTTTTCTATTTAGGATTACAACATCGAAGTAAATTATTTTTATTAATTTTTTTTGTATAAATTTTGTTTTTTAAATTAGATATAGGAAATTATGATAATCAACATCGTTTGCAACGACAACATCCAATCGATGGAACAAATGGTTATATATCCCCAACGTTACCACCACAATCATCATCATCTCAAGTATATCAACAAAATTATGGTCTTAGTCGAACTATTACAATACCTGAATCACAACATCAATCACGTCGTTCTAATAGTTATACAATGCCAAATAGACAAATGAATAACGAGGATGATATACATGAAGGTATAAAAACAAAATAGTTTGTTTTTTTTGTATTTAGTGATTTATTCTATTTTGATATAGATCGTCATCATGGTCGTCATCGTCGACCAAGTGTTGAAACAACTAGGTAAAATAGATTTATAGTACAATTAATCATTCATTACTTTTTGATTTGTTCATACAGTCCACGACGTCCTTATGCTCCATCATCTATTACAGATATTCATATAAATGATATAATTAAATTTTCTCGACCAGGTGGTAAAATTAGTAAAGGTATTGTTAAATATATTGGTCCATTACCAGGCAAAACTGATCAATATCTTGGCTTAGAATTAGAAGATGAAGGTAAAAAATTAATCATGAATATTTTTTTTCTTTTTCTACAAAATAATATTTTTTTGTTTTTTGTTTCTTTCACAGAAAGTAAACATGATGGTGTCTATCAAGGTCAACGTTTATTTCAATGGTATGAAAAACAAAATAAATATTAAATTTTATTTAATTATCTTTATTGTTTTTGTTCTTTTATTTAAGTAAACCAAATAAAGGAGTATTTGTTGGTTTTAGCAAAGTGATTATGGCATGGAGTGGAAAATAAATTCATTAAAAACATGATAACGTTACTATATTATTGTCTTTTTATATGTACATATAGTTAAACAATCGATCTCTTCCATTCATTACAGCATTTTCTATTTCGGATATGAATATCTCAAATAATCTTATATACTTAATTGACAATCACTGATATGAAAAACAAAATTCCTTATCCATGAGAATTGATAGAAGTATTCTGAATACAAATATGTTTTGCCTTTTTTTTTTTATATGAATTTTATTGTCAAAGTAGACAAAACTAATGTGTATTTTTTCGTGTTTTTTTTCTCCTTATTATAATCTCATCGTTCCTTTTTTTTTTTGTTTTTTCTTTCTTTTGAATCATATTTTACGTAGAATAGATTGCTCAAAATATACAGTGACAATCTATATTTGTTTAAAGAATAATTAATTGAAATTTATTTATCATATTACCAATTACATATATGATAATCTTTTAGAAAACATCCATAAGGAATATTAATATCTGTTTTTCCTTCTGATAATTGTTTGTAAGTATCAATAATTGGATCAAGAACACGTGCTGCAGCATCTTCTTCATCAAATGGTATTTGAAAATCTTGATCAATCATTGATTTCATTGTGTTTTCTAAAAATTTTTTATTATTAATCAAACCTAGAAAATTAAAATAAAAAAATTTTAATTTAACAAAAAAAAATATATATATATTCTGAAATCAATGTACCTGTATCTACAGAAATCATAAAAATATTTGATACTTGATAATCTATAGCTGATGTACGTGTCATCATATTTAATGCAGCAGAAGCTGCATTTGTATGTGGATGTTGATCAGTTTTATTATAATGAGAAAATGAACTTTCGATAGATGATACATTTATAATAAATTTAATACTATCTGGATTTGGATGTTTATCAGCCATAAGTATTTTAAGTTTACTATTGAGAATAAATGGTACTAAAGTATTTATAGTAAAAACTTCATTCATTTCAATTGTTGATAAATCACTAAGACGTGATAAATAAGAATTTCTTGAACAAAAATCAATGAGTTGATCGTTTACATCAAATGAAGTATTATTAATTATTAAAGATGTTTGTTTAGAAATATTGTTTGAGTTATTTGTATAAAGTAAAGATGGTAAATATGATGATGTTTGTTGAATTTGATTAGAAAATGGTACTAATCGTTCATAGAATTGTAGATTTCCATTTAAAATCTTTTGTTGATCATTTGGTAAAAGAGAATAATTAGTTAATCTTTCATGATTAAATAAATGTTGATAAAATTCATTTGATTTTTGAATTGTTTGACAAACATTATTAATTAAAAAATCTAATCGATCATATTTTTCAATTAACATTTCTGTAAATGATTCTACAAGTTGTGAATATCGTAAATCAATTCCATAAATATGTATATGATCTTTCCATTGTTCAAAATCTTGTTCTTTATTTAAACGATTTAAAAAATCGATTGGAAATCGACTTGTTGTTATAACAAAACAATTAGCACGTAATAATTTTAAAACAATTCGATAACCAATTTTAATTCGACCATTCGTTCCTAAAGCAATACAATTTGTAAGATCAGTTGTTTGTATACGTTTTTCATAATTAAATTTGGCACATGATGGACAAAGTCGATCATAAAAAAAATGTAATATATGATATTTAAGTTTACATAAATAACAAGATTTTGATTCATTTAATTGTTGTGTTGTATTATTTTCATTATCGTTATTTATTGTTTCCATTGATACAATACCATCAGGTACAATAGTATGTTCTAATCGAAATTGTTTAAATTTTCTAGCTCGACGTAATCGAACGGCTTTTTGATCAATTAATTTTATTGGATCTGAATTATATTTTTTTGTCTTTTTATTTAAACGTTTTCCAATAAGATATAAACTACGTATTATTGGTCGAATGCTTGCAAATTCATCTGATTCAATTGAAAAATATTTATCTTTATTAGTAAATGTGGAAAGAACTTTGATACAAGTTGTTAAATCATTAGATGAAATCGAAATCGATGATTGCTCGTCTATAGACATGATGAGATTTTTTTACTGAATACAAACCAAAATACACTAAACTCTTTCTTTTTATAGTTTTAGACGAATTTAATGATGCAATAGGTTGATGTAAAGAGCGAACAAATTTATGAAATATTGACTTGACATAAATGTATTTCAGTAATTGCACAATATAGTCATGCATGTTCTATTGGTAAAAACAGAAAATATGATGTTTTTCATATGTGACTCATTGTACTGATCGAAAACCTTAACTCTGCCTCTGTTACTCTTTCAAATAAGAGTTCAATTTCGTCAGAAAATAAATACGTGGGAAGATTGCTTGAGGTCGAGCCTTCCATAAACATATGTCACAATTGATATCGGAATTCAGTTGAATTTCGAACGCATGCTAATATCATGAGTCATACGATAATTAATGTTTAATTAGTATTGTGCTTAACTTTTCTAATTATAGCAATTCTAAATTATTGATTGATTTTTTATGATTTATTTTAAAATACTTGCATAAAAATAATTTTCATTTTTAATAACTATTAGATAGTAAATATTAGAATTTTATTCATCTCTTTATAGCTAATTGATCGATAGTCGTCCCTATACAATATCAAATCTACAAACACTTTCTGTATCTCTTTGTCTTTAATTATATAAATTATGGATTCTTTTTTCTGTGTGAATCTACCTCTAAAAAAAATGAATATTTCCAATTGCAAAGTACAATCTTACATTGATAAACTTCCTCCAGAAAAACCTTTTTCCTTTTTGTTTTTTTTGTTGACAAATTCTAGAATTTTCGAAAGAGATTTATGGTAGTCAATTGTCTGTTTTTATAATTTGAAATTTTTTAATTAAACGGGTTTGTGCTTATAAAAAAAAAAATCACTTCTATAAATAGGTGACCACTTTTCGAGATGTTGAACTTGTCATCCGTTTCTTCTGCATAAAAAGGAAGAATTTAAGAAACAGAAAGAATTTTGTTAAGTACTGTACTCTAACATACTCTTTCAAATAAAAAAAAACAATTAAATTTATAGATTGAGGATCTACAAAGAATGTTCGAGTTACGAAATGAGTTATTTTAAATCTTCGTTTATTAAATATCTAACGAAAACGCCATGATATCATAGACGAAAATTTCATGTAATTTGAATATACTTCACTCAAGGTTGATTTTCAAGAGTGCATAGAAGTTTAAAAAGAGATTTGAATCTAATCCTTTATTTATGAGACAATTTTTTTTTTATATAAAAGTCATTGTAATAAATGATATTTGTTATAGAAACGTAAAGTGTTAGTTAATTCCTATTCTTATGATTCTTTTTCATAAAACTAATGATATCTGATCTAATGAAGAAAATGTACTTGATCAATGTCATATCAAATAATTATTGATCTATTACTTTTAAAGATAGTTTAAAAATACGAAAAGTTTTATGGATGACGATGTAGAATCTGTTACAATCAAACTTCATATCAAAAATGATGAATAAACATAATAGCTATATCTAGTTTTATTACTGTTAAATTTACTTCTAGATTCTAAAAGAGGTCTATTAAAATTAAAAACATGAAAGTTGAAAATTTATTTTATATATTCTAAACTGTTTTGTATACATTCAAACAGAACCTAGTTCTAAGTAAAATGATACAAGTATCTTCTCTAATTCTTCCATATGATGTAATTTAACTGACATAACATTTGTTATGATATCAATCGTCATTTGTTACTTGATTTTCATTTTGAAATCATATATAGTCGTGTTGTAAACAAATAATTGAAAGAACAAGGTCTTCTCTGTTTCTTCTTCTTTTTTTTTTGTTTGTATATTCTATCAAGTTTATTGTATAAAATATGTCGAAATATTTCATTATTGGTCTATTGTTTATTATTAGTAATTTAATGAAAGTAATTGTTTATATTATTATTATTATTTTATTATTATTTAGATATTAGCTTTTCAATTGGTACTTATATTCGTATATGTAATCAAGGTGTTTATTTAGCAAAATGTTATCTTGAATCACGATCATTTACTTATGGATTTCAAATTCAAAAATATGATACAGGATTATTTCCAATTTTTCAATGTTCAAGATTAGATATACCTTTTGATGCTGTTTGGACTTATCTTGAGTGTAAAGCTCTTACATTTATTGCTATTTATAGTACAATTTTTACACAAGAATTTTCTTCAATAGTACTTAATTCTTGTTATATAATCAAAGGAACGATATTAAATCCAACATGGTCAGAAACAAGATGTTAATTTACACTTTTCTTTTAATGACAATGTTCTATATTTTTTTGACCTTCAGTTTTCTATCAAAAAGAATGTACATTATTCAATTATATATCTTGAGAAATCATCAAACTTTTATAATATACCCTCTGAGTAAAATTCTTTCTCTTCATTGCTCTTTTCATATAGGACTCTTATAGTTTTAAACAAATGTTAGTTACAAAGATGGTTCAAGTACTGTATTTTAATGTAGTGTATGCTTGATTACGATTTGTTTCAATAAAGACTATGCGTCCTTCAATAGAGTTGAGCAACATTACAAATGAGTTGGTTGACCGAATTTTTCACGATTGAATTGTCTCTCTTTGTTATGTCTGTAAACTATTTTACTAGTTTGATTAGGTCAATCGAAGTTCTTTCAAGAATGTGACATAAGCGATTATACAAAATACCAATAAAGTAAAATTAGTGGTAGATTTATAAAATATATCAAAAGAAAAAAAGAAAGAACATAATCCAACCATGAAAGTATTCTATCAACTAACTCATTTTTAGTGTTAACTTCTTGTATTGAATGACGCACATTCTTCATTGATGCAGATCGTGATCAATTACACACTATATTAAAATACATCACTTAAAACATTCTTGTAACTAACACTCACTTGAGACGAAAAGAGTTCGATACGAAAAAGAATGAAAAGAGAGAATCAGGGGGTAAAAACTTTTGCCC